AGTTAAACATCGCGTCTTCTGTCACAATTTTAAAAACATAATATATAGTTATGTCTGAATGTACACCAGATATGTTGCATTTAGCTCTGACCATAAATAGACAATCTTAGGTAAGAAATTCGATATGCCATCTGAGGATTGATATTTTACTGCGAAGATTTTTTTTTGTATAATGTATGGTATTTAAATAGCAACATTTTCAAGTGCCTTAAATATGTTATCTCTTTTTGAGTAGAGAGAAAGAATCAAAAATACTATTTCGTGTTTTTCTTTCATTTGGCCTGTACTGTAATAAAATACCCTAAAGGATCCATCCTAGACCACTATATAAATACTTAGACTAGAGAGTTGTGGCGTTTTATTGTGGGAAAATGATTTTTTGTAAGGCGTTTAAAAATGGCCGTCGGAAGGTGAAGTGGAAACAACGAAAACAATGGCTTCCATGTTATAAAATACTTTTATCACCTTCGGTGTTCGTATAAAATGTTTTTGATCTTTTAGAAATTTTTATAAAATGTTTAAATTATAAGCAATGTTTTAGTTAGCGATGTACTTAAACAGCCGTTAAACGGTAGCCTACTAAAATGCCGTTAATAGATATTGTGACGTCGTTCATGTCGGTGAAAAGTTATGCCTAGCCATAAGCATATTGCAAGAGCACCTGTGGCCCCGTGGCTAAAGCTATCGGTTCGTGAGCGAATGGTCCGGGGTTCAAATCTCACGCTGACCAAAACTTTTTTATATTTTTTTTTGCGTCATACTTATTAACGGCATTTTAGTAAGCTACCGTTTAACGGCAGTTTAAGTACAGCCTTTAGTTAAACAGGGGCGTATTTCAGAAAAAAATAACCAAATTATATACGTGTAGATAAAAGAGCTTATGTAATATTCGCACTAACTCTATGCATTTGTCAAATTTCGAGTTGAACTCTTGGCCTTACTGATACTGATAAGATACAAAATGAAGGAATCTGTCATGACATACAGCGTGCCGCCACTTTCAAAATAATATTTCACAAATTTTCTTATTCGGCTTTTGCACTAACATCATTAAACTTTTTTTTAATGCTTGACATGTGTCAATTTTCGTGTTGCAATATTGGCAGTACTAATAATGATAACGTACTCACAAAATGAAATAAAAATTTCCTGTAATGGTAATGCTTATTTTTGTTCTAAATGCCAAAAAGTTTTTGATGTAATATCAATGTTTGTTTTTCGTAATTAAAAGTCCACAAATTCGCATATATTTTTGAAATCGCTAATAATTACATATAAAAATGCGTGCATTTTCTTTACCTTTTAACGTACGAATAAAAAATCGCACAGTTTTCGGTGTGATTTGTTTACAGTAGGTACATAATATACACTGTGTCCGTAAAGTAATGGATAGATAAAAAAAAATATCACGTGTTACTTCAATTTTTTAAATGGAAAGCCCTGTATATTTTGATGAATATCGATAAAGCTCATTGAGACGAATTCAATGATATAAGGGTTGATAGGTCTATTTTGAATGATTGCTAAGAAACAAATCTTGATCGTTGCTAAGAAAAAAACAAAATGTCAGATTGAAAATCTAATAACATCAACTTGTAGAGCAGGAAAAGTAGCAATAGGAATGTGAAATTTGCATTGTCGCATATCTTTTCAAATAAAATGAGAAAAAAATAAGATTGAAATCAGGAAAATTCGGTGTTTCCCAAATATTTTCGGAATTTTAAAAATTTTAAAACATCATATTGCAGGATTTAGCAAGACGTAACTTTTCTCTGATTTAATCATCTTTGTAAATCTTCTAGTTTATGAGATCCCTGTAGTGTGCAATGCACACTGTGCATTTTTATATGGAACACCGTGTATGTACGTAATTTACTGCATCTTAATATTCTGTGTTTTTGTCTATTTTACATATACATAGTGGTCAAGGGTAAAAGAAATTTACCTAACTCCGGCTCTGATATCTCTCAATAGGTTTTTGCTTTCGTTTTCATACGTTCGCGTCCCTCCAGGTGGCGCATAAGCCCAGGAGTAAATAGTCGCCCATATGACGCATATTCAAATTAATTGTTTTATATAAAACACTTATAAAACATTAACAAAACGGTTAATATCTATGTTGATTAATTGCTCCGGTTGCAACCGTTATATAAATATGTCGTAGATGCAGCAACAACCGAACTAATTTGTGTTTAGTGAAACATATCTGTTTCAGAAACCTAACCTCATTATTATTCTATTTAGGATATTTTAACGGAAAGCTATTTGAAGCTTAAAATTTCTAGGGTCTTGGGGAAGCATATTAGGAAAGCCATCATTTATATTATATTTTTAAATAAAGCCCTTATCGCCACATGTAGTACATTAAAAGACACAGCCCACGTTCTAATATTTCTTACAAGCTTTGTGTTCTTTTCTGCATTGACTATATCCTCAGAATGATCCTCATCCTCACGTAATTCATCTAGCTCTATTTCCCAGTTATTTATTTCTTCTTTGAGATCTCTCTTCTGAACCTCGTTAATAAAAGCATCATTTTCAGTGGAACTAATTCGTTCATCAGCAATTGAAGAGAAAACGTTTTGTTCACTTCAGTCTTCTTCCTTTACAGGGAGATCAATTGTTTCACGATCTTCGGTAGCTAGGATATTCTGGTTCAAACCAAACCAAACCAAACCAAAACACTTTTTTGCCCTTCTGTAAAACGCACCACTTCTTTTATGTCTTTTATTATTTTTAATAATTTGAGATTTTGACATGATAAAGCTGTAGTATATTATGACAAGATCAATGTAGAATGTAATGGCGTGCAAAAATGTCTATACGTTTTATAAATGTATTATCAAATGCTTTTGTGTCATCAGAATTATTTTTTTGTTTTATAATTATTCCATTAGGTTTTTATTATGACAGTGTTTGTATTAATATTTGTCGGCAATAATATCAGAAAGAAAACTTTTATAAAATAATTTTATAAATATCTCGCATGACTTTAATAAAACAATTTTATATATGTTCGCAAACGAATGACCTAGTGTCGAGTAACAACGGTACAAATTTATTATAAAACAAATTTGTTCGGTAAGGTAAAATGTCGTATAAAATACATTGTATAAACGTTTATACACAAACAGAATTAAAATTTGTCGTAAGACTGTTCCGTATTTTTGCTTTAAGAACGTTCTTACGACTAACTTATAAAGCAAAATCATTTTAAAAACTAAAATATTTCACTTGCAATTTTAATACAACAAAATGGTTTTTGAAGAGAAGTAATAAAGTAATTATAAAACAGGATAGTACCGAAAGTTAAAAATTATAAAATAAGTGTGCTAGTTAGGTATTATTATACTAAATAATTATTATTATTATTATTTGACTGATATTCAATTATAATGACACGGTAACTAAAAAGTAATAGTAAGCAATAATAATAAAGAGGTAATAAGTTAATTAAACGTAACAAGCAAATTAAACTAAATTAATGATCAGGTAATATTAACTGGAGAAATACATTGCTATACCAAATGAATTTTTACAAAACACAACTCACCATTTCTATATTTCAAGTACATTATACTGCCTCTATACGCTAACTACATACATTTCTAGTAAATAGAGTTGTATGTATCATTCACATACGGCCATTATCTTTCACAGTTGTTACAGATTCATGATACTAGTACATAACTTACAAAACAAGCAAACGACAACATTACATACAAACATAAATGTTTATTACAGCGGAACTGAAAGTATCGAAATCTAAATCACTATTTTACGAGATAAACGGTATCGGGCAACAGTATTATTACATTAAAGTCGTAGGACGAAGATTTGCAATGGCACTGTGACTCAATCATAATTTTCCTGTAATTCTTTTTTAATTCGTTAATTTTTTTTTATTAAATATAGCTAAGTAGGATCGACGGGACAGATATTTATTAGTCATATGTGTATTTTATGAGCTTTGAATGAAAATATTAAGGCAGGAGTATAATGCTAACCATTCGTCTCCTATCTTATGTACTGAGGAAACTCGCATTTAGTAGATTTCTCAGAAGAGTAGAAAAATATAAAAAGGCCTGTATTAAACTAAATTTTTTTGAAAGATTTGTCGAATCTAAATACTATCACTGCCTTGATATAGATACAGCTCATAGATATAGATACAGCTCTTCGTGAGATAAAAGTTGTTCCCGTAGAAATTTTTGTGGAATGTTCATTTTTGCAGAAAAATTTATGATTAATTTAAAAAAATAAAAATTTCCCAAATTTAGTATTTCAGTGAAATAACCATCTACTCAACGTGTTTATTTTTCGTAAATAATGACATGTATTTACTATTTCCATTCTAAATATCTTAAGAACGGTTGCTCGTAGCGATTTTTACAAAGATATATTTTTTACGTAAAAAATCACAGAGATGTATATTTTTTCGCTCGGTAGTTTTATACAGGTACGGACAAAAAGTTATTACGCTTCAAAACAGTTAAAACACATGTAGGTGGCGCCCTCTAATAGTAGGAGTCATATTGACATCAAAATTAAATTTCTCATGTCAAAAACACCCAGACACCAATTTTCATGCAAATACGTTACATCAGAAATTATTTAGAAAAAATCGAGATAAAAATAAAACTTCTACACCCTGTATCTCTGAAACGTATGAACTAAGCATTTTAGGACATACATTTATACAAACTTTTTTACTTATTTTTATCTGCAGAATATACTGCCGAAGTTTCCGGAATACAGTTCGGACCGCCCTGTATATTAGCTAGTTAAAAGCTAACTAGCTACTCTTTTCTTTGTCTTACCAATTAAAAAACCGATCACCGATTTAAAATGACCAGGCCGTTATAATGTTTTAGCACAAATAATGTAAATAAAACCAATAATAATTATTTACCAGAACAATTACAGAAATCAATTTATTTTTCTTCGTTTTCAAATCAATCAAATCAAAAAAAAAGTATTTTAAAACTTATCTGACTTACCTGACTTAAACCAACTCTGTAACTCGAAAGTTCCAAATCCATTGTCAACAGCATATCTTCAACAGCTTTCCTTTCATCTAAAACTGGACTGGATACTTTATTATCGCCAGCCAAAATGTCAAATTTTCTTCTAAATTCCCCTAATTGCAAGAAATTCGGAAATCCTTGTTTGTAGAGACGAACTGAATCCAGAATTTGTGCACCACGAATCTAAAAAAATAATTGTTTTGAGAATAATGCAAAAAGAAATTTTGAACTTTTATATTTGAAGCGTCAAGTTGAAACACCCGCCTTATCCCAAAAACTTTGTTTCGAGATAATAAGCAAAAACTGTTTTAGCAAATGTTTGAAGCGTTATTTTACAAAAAACGTGTTCATTAAGTGGGATTATTGTTTGGTATCATAATGTTACGTTTTTCGTCGGTTCCGTGTGGATAGAAAGTCACAATTTATTTAAACACAATTTATTTAACACTAATTAACAAAAACAATAACGATTAAAAGACTTAAAGAACTATTTATGACTTATTTACAATTTATCTAATTATTTATCTAACAGAAATTTATTTTGAATTAGCGCGGCGATTGTAACTGTACGCGTCGATCGGTTATTTATCTCTATCTCCTTCAGGTTTCGGGCATCCGCTTATATATGAGAGAAACAGACAGTCCAGACATATCTCGAAAATTCTTAGTGGCGTTCTTCGAACGTCGGTGGGCATACGAGTCATAGCCGAGTGGCCAAGCCTAAGGCCGAGTTCACACGGTACGGGTCCGCAACAATAGTTTATATAGAAATAAAAATTTAACATAAAAACATAAAACATTCATTTTCATTTCTACAAAAACCAGATACAAAACAATGATTCCACTTAATGGGCACGTTTTTTGTGTGCCTTTTGTTTAGCGGGTTTTGCTACAAGATATTTGCATCCTAACTTGGAATTATTATTTTATTAAAATTAGGTAAGGATTTCAAATGGATAAGACGTCATGCGTCAGTAGTAAGTACTATATTTATATATAAAGCCTATGAAAAAATGCGGGATTTGCCACAATAATGACAATAAAAAACTAATACAAGTGGAACAGACTATGTTTATGTAGGGACTATGTCTATATTGGGACTATGTTTATGTAGATTTTAAAGTCAGTATTAATGTATAGCATTAGGCCATTTAAAAAAATGGATAAGGCGGGTTTTGCAACTTGACGCCTCATTTGTACTACAGTAACGCTATACTCTGTTTTTTTTTCTCAGGTAAGATTTCGACAGACGATGACAAAAGAAAGGCAGATGACATGACGTCCCATACCGATCTATTTATTTTACTAAAAAAAGTTTCTAATATTTTTTAAGTTAACTATGGATGGGTTTAAATATAAATCCGTCATGCGTCGTCTCTTGTTGTTTTTAACCAGTTTTATTGGTTTATTTCAAAAGTGACAAAATGACAGATCATATTTCAATTTTATTGGTTTGACGGAACGATCAACGACAAACGGGCGCCTATGCGTATGAACTCGCCTTTAGATTTTTGAGGCTTGTCAAAGTGCTGTAAAATATCGACATCACACGATAGGTAAATAACGGATTTTAGTACTGCAGAAAAATAATACCAAAAGGTACTGGTTTAAAAAAATATATTAAAGTTATATTAATCAACCTTTAAGGTATAAAGTTTGGTAAGTGTTATTATTAATAAAATAGTTTGTTTTATTTATGTTGTTTTATTTATTCCTGTGGAATATTACAAATTTGTATTTATACATAAGTTATATTGATAAATATAATAATAAATGCGCGAAGTTTCTTGAATCTTGAAAGTAAGAAATAGTGCTTTTTATTTTTTTTGGTATGTGGTGTTTTGTTCTTGTTTGTTTTGTATTAACACATACCGTTTTTTTTTTTAAATAAAATATCTCAATTACATTTTTTCAATCTTATACAGTTTCTTTTTTCACGATATTTTGAAGTAATCACTTATCAGTAAAATTTTAAATATATTAATTTCCTGCTATGCGCTCTAGTTGTACCAACTAATTTCTTTGTAAAATAAAATAAACTACTTTGAAATTAAAATGACAGACACATCTATCACTGTCAAGGATCTTGTCGTTGGACAGACTATACAATATAATATAAACACTAACCTGTGATCTTAAAAGAGGAATGTTCAGCAAAGCATCTTCGGAACTTCCAGAGTTTAGTCTAACGTTAATCAATGATCCATTGCTTTCACAAAAACCAGCATTGTGTTGGGGCAAGATGCACTGTACAAATCTCAATTTGGTTCTTCTTAGCGTTTCAACTAAACCATCAATGGTAAATTTAGTCTACAACAAAAAAAATCAATGGAAAATTTAGTTCATTGCCCACAAAAAATTAAAAATAATATAATTAATTTTATTAAATAACAATTTATGTTATGCAATAAAATTTTATTTTAATTAATACAATTTTTACCTGCAAGCAGATACTTTTTCTCTTAATAGCAGCTGTGCCACCAGTAAAGGTTCTTCTGATACTAGAAGCCCTTCGCAAAGACTGGGATCCATCTAATCCTACTACTGAACCGCTAAAATTAGATGCCCCAAGACCTCTGACTGCTACAAAAAGTTTACTAGTATCTTCCCTAAAAAATATAATAGTAAATTAGTAAAAAAACTTGTACGTATTTATTTTTTCCTATAAATATTTAAATGTGTTAGAGTAAGAAAACTTCCCAATTTATTGTATTAAAGCAGGGGATAGCTGAATTCATGGATCAAACAAAGATTTTTTCTTATCGGATCTTTTTCAAACACCGCGAGTACTTGATTTATCCTTACAGGAAGACTTATTAAATGAATTTAATACCTTTACGCGTTCTTTTCTTCTTCAGTATAGTACAATCGTCATATATTATGAACAGAACTGTATCTGTACAGGGTTATTCACCACATACGACACGGAGTATTGTAGCTAAATGATAAGATTTTTACAAATTGTAAGTTTTGGGTTAGTTGAAGGTCTATTAGAGCTACAATTTAAAAATATTTTTACAATATACAGAGTGTTCCAAAAAAAATTAAAAAAAATGTTATAAGTTGTATTTTTTTAAATGGAACACCCCATATATTATTTTATTTTTAGATTCTACGATTGAAATAGATGTAAATTTGATTAAGGTTTATCACACTTAAACCTTGCCGTTTATGAAATATATTGAATTTTGTGAAATCGTGGTAAAAAATTTAAGGCTTCATTTCTCCAATGGTATGAAAATTTTTTAATGCTAAATATTTACTGAAGTTTATTTATTGATCAGATATTGTGCTGTAACAATAAAAACAATACTACCTTATACAGAGTGTCTAAAAATTTATTTTAAATAATTACTATCTTTAAACGACAATAACTTGTTTAATTTAAATGGAACACCCTGTATATTTTACAAGAATAAGATGCACAACTTAATTGTGTATGAAACTGTATTATACCATTTTTACCTAGCTCTTTTCTAAGTTTTTGTAGAAAATGCATTTTCTTATAATTTAGACATCAATTATCAATATACCAAAGGATGTATAATCTTTATTATTGCAACACAAAGTAATTTTTTTAATAAATAGAAAAACTTCAGTGCAATAGTTGGTTTTAAAAACATAAATGCGTCTAGACAAATGAAGCATTAAAATCATTACTGTATTTTGACAAAAATGTAAGTATTTCAAAAACGGTGATTAAAATGCGGTAAACCTTAATCAAATTTACCTTTATTTTAATCATAAATAAATGCCTTTATTGTCAAAAAATTTTTCAATTTGTAGACAAAGATAAACTAACAAACAAAGTAAAAAACAAGGTACACAAACAAACAAACAAAAGATAATACAAAACATTATACAAATAATATTGTCAGTCTTATTGTTAAATAAACATTTATAAATGTTTACAATGTCAAAGAACAAAAAAATAAAAATAATATTCAAAAATATTTAGCTAGTTTATAGTAAAATATCAATGACCTCTAAATAAATTCATTTCGATGTCATTAGTAAATATAGCAATAGCAAACATTAGACCAGTGTTTACAAGATCAAATTCGATTTTCAAAATATAATTCATTTACGGCGTAGAAAGCCTTGTCTAGTAAATAAGAGTTCAATGCTTTGCGAAATGAAAAAAATAATGTTATGGATTTGATTTCAAATGGCAGGTGATTGTGCATTTTTTTCGAGTTGTATAATATTGAACTTTTAACTAACTCTGAGCGTGGGGTAGGTAGATAAAGATCTTGCTCCGCGTTCCTGAGTGGATAAGTGTGAGATGGCCTTTCTTGAGAAGCTGATACATGCTTACGTATTAGGCAAACGGATTCAAATATAAATAAGGAAGGAAGAGTTAATATTTTAAATTTTTTAAAAAGACCTAGCAATGAGTTCTGCTGTTTAGTCCCAGTGAATATCGAACAGCTCTCTTCTGGAGCTTGAAAATGCGGTCAAATTGTGTCGCACAACACGTACCCCAGGAAGGGCATACCTGAGGTGCGACTCAAAAAGTGCATAATAAACAGTTCTAGCCACTGACAAGTTAAGCTCCTTAGAAACAGACCTTAATGCAAAACAGGCAGAGCTCAATTTTTTCGACAAATCTTCGATATTTATGTCCCATTTCAGAGAATTGTCCACAACAAGCCCTAAGAATTTTACAGATTTTACGACGTCAATGGTGGTGTTGTTAAGTACAAAAGGCTGCAACGAGTTTTTATACGACAAAGCTTTAGTTTTAGAAATGTTGAGACTCAGGAGGTTCGAATCGCACCAAGATTTATTGGTGATTAAGTCATTTGATATAATCCTATGAAGTGCCGTGATGTCCTTGTTGCTCCAAGTGAAGCTAGTGTCGTCCGCAAAAAGACATATTTTGCCACTGATGTTTATGTTAGCAATGTCGTTAATAAAAAGAAGAAACAAATACAGCCTAGTACTGAGCCTTGTGGTACTCCACATTCTATTGGCTTGCTAGAAGACAACGTGGTATCCACCCTCACAAGTTGACTTCTGTTGCTCAGATACGACTTAAACCATTCGAGAGATGATCCCCTGAACCCAAAGTGCTGCAGTTTATTAATTAGGATCTTATGATTTACACAATCGAACGCCTTAGAAAAATCACAGAAAATTGTTGCTGTAGAATGATGGTTGTTTAGGCTGGAGTAAACTTTATTAAGGAGGGAAAACATAGCGTCATTTGTGGACTTGTTGCTTAGAAATCCAAATTGATATTCTGTATTTAATTGTATTTTGTACTTAAACAGAAAAGATACCAGCCTTCTTTTAACCAACCTTTCTATGATCTTAGATAGCGTTGGAAGGAGTGCAATTGGGCGATAGTTAGAAGCTTCATCTTTGTCTCCTCCTTTATGCAGAGGAATGATTATTGCCGGCTTAAGACATTTTGGAAAAATACCATTTTGGAACGACATGTTTATTAAAGATGTTAGGTGATTCAGAGTGCTTTCTGGCAGATTCGAAAACATTTTTAAAGTTAGCCCGTCGGTCCCAGAAGAGGATTTATTTTTGATGGTATTAATTGTACTGCGAAGCTCTTCTAAAACTATGGGCGAAAAAAAAACTGTGTAAGTTTACATTATCATTAGAGAGATAAGAAAGTGGAACGTGGATATGGTATTAGTTAAGTTTTTCGCTACATTTACAAAGTAATCGTTAAGGTTCTCAGGTGAGGTAGAGATATTGTTAAACGAAGAAAAGCTTTGTTTCTCAATTCATTCACAATAGACCATGTTTCTTTAGCAACATTACCAGAATTGACTATTCTCCTATTATAATAAAGGTCCTTAGCGGCTCTTATAGTCTTATGATAAATTTTTCTGTATAGTTTTACGTAATTGTGGAAGAAGAGACTGTCTGAGAATTTTTTTAAGTGAGATAATGAACGCATGTTTTTAGAAGATATGCGTAGACCTTTAGTGGTCCAAGGTTTATTATGCTTATTTTTTATAGGCCTAAGAGGAAAGGATTTGAACGCTAGACTGGTTAATGTTTTTACGAAAATAGAAAATTCGGTGTCGACATCATAAGAGCTAGTATCCCAGTTGGTTGTTTTACATAAGTGGCTGAACCTTTGAGCATTCTTTTCTGAAAAAATACGGCATAATTTACGAGGGGCATTTTTGATTTTGGACTTAAAGAGCTAAAGACGTTGCAGGCGATGGAGTTAGGATCAAAAGATGACACAACATAGTCTATAGTACTAGAACTGGTATTGGATATTCTGGTAGGTGAGCCTACATGCATGGCTATTCCAAAAGAATCAAAAATGGACTGAAAAGGACAGGGTGTTCCATTTAAATAAATACAACTTTGATATTTTTTATTTATTTGGGACACTCTCTATCTTGTAAAAATATTTTTAAATTGTAGCTCTAATAGTCCTTCAACGAACCCAAAATTAACAATTTGTAAAAATCTAATCGTTTAGCTGTGGTGAATAACACCGTATATATTTTTAAGGGAAACTTAAATATTTGTCGTTATGGAAAACTATGGATCATTATAGCAAGAGCAAATCAAAAATACTCACTTGCAACTTTCCTGAAGTAGAGATACAGCAGCTCTAGACACAGGATTCTCCCTACTTTGCTTCAGCCAACCTTTTGCACTATAAAGAACAGGATTCGTTCCTTGTAAATGCTGTAAAATGAACTGACTGTTTCCTGGGGCTTTCCTGAGCAGAAGCTGATGATCTCTGTCCCCATAATGATTAAATAAACGTTCTAGAAACGACTCGTCGCTGCCTAAAATACGTTTTTACTTTTTAAAAAATTACACAACATAAAGGTAAGTTTAGTTTAGAATAAGTGAGGAGTTGTGAGAATCAAAACTTATCTATTTTTGGTAACCTTATCTAAAACTTAAGTACTTCATTTCTAAAAAAAATCTTGGAGTGCATTTTAGGCATTAACGTTGGTTTAGCATGCTATAAATAGTTTATTGTTTTATTAAAAGTAAAAATGATGCTTTTTGTGGCGAGGCTAGACGTTACAAAGAAGCAACAAAAAGTACATTTTTACTCCAAATAGAACATGCTATTTTTTCAACCATCACAAATAATTTTTTAAACAATTTCAAACGTCGAATAGTATAAAAAGTAATATCTTGTAAGTTATACAAGATATCACTTTTATATTATTATTTATGTGTCAAGCAATAATAGTACACTCGTTGAAGTTAATGTCAGTTTAATAATTTCTAATAATATATTTTTGTACTTATATGCTTAGGTGTAAAAGTGCTTAAGTTTTATGGCTAAGCGGTAACCAAAAATTAATACTTTTGTGACGTTTAAAAAAAATAATTTAGAATCATACTTAAAGTTCAATTTTTTTAAATTCCAGTTTCTTCAATATTTTTATTATAAAATATGTGGACAATAATACTGTCCAACCAAACCAAACCAAACCAAACCAAACTTAAACGGGCAGTAACAACACAACACTTTCACGTAAAACTTAAAAAAAGTAAAAATCTCGAACAGAAAACCTGATATGGAATTTTTCCAGAACGCTATGTCACCCTGTATGAGCATGTCGTATATGTTTAAGGTGCAAAAATCTCTTTGAACATGTTTTATAATGATATCCAATGTAACTTCATGATGTCTCTAGAATTTTAAAAAAATTTATATATTTACCTCCTGGATACATGGCCTCCTCATCAAGAAGCCATAATAATCCTCTTCTGTCAGCTTCATGTAAGTCAGTTTGAGATGTCCTTATTACAGAATTTTGGGCAGTTCTATCTAACAGATTTACAAGTGGTTGTGGATTGATAATATTCTCATTTTCGTGCTCATCATATACAAAATCAATGTTTTCCTGAAGATACCTATAAAGTATTGTACACATATCATTATTTTATCCATACCATTCATTCACAAAGTACAACAAAGTATAGAATGAAGCCATCATTCAACGTCACCTCATATATTGTCGAACTCCCTCAGTCACTTGACAACCCCTAGATCATATACATATATTCTTACGTGGATAAATCAATGCCGTAAGTTTAGTATTAAAAAATATGTCTCTAACATCACGACATGCCATTCCTTCTTTATTGCACTTATGAAATATTCAGTAGGTTTGTCTTTCTCGAGGACCTTACTTTGCGCCCCAACCGCATTAAAAGTTGCACGTATTTCTAAAATAATCACAATTTTATACGGTTTATAAAGTACAAATTATACATTGTTATGGAAACCAACTTTTCATTGTCATTATATTGTCATAATCTTGTCATAATCTTATTTCCACTTATTTGCGTTTTTTAACGCAAAATTTTTTAAGAAATATTTTAAAAATTGTAATACTCTTTTATCGACCGCTTTTATATAGCCAAGAAAGCAGTGAGAAGTTAATTTTAAGTTTGTGCAATTATATTTCTATTTTTTTTTTTCGTTGGACTTTCTCAAAGAATATTATAGTTTTAAGAACTCTCGTGTGGAAGCTTTAGTGATTTGTCATACGGTGGCGCTTTTGAACATAATCGAAGCCTGAAAATGCTAATATTTTAAATTTTGAGGACTACGCGCGGCGATATTTCGTACGGTGTTGCCAAACATATTTTATTTCTCGATATTTAAAGAAATATGTATTGATTATATATTTCGTATATTCGATAGTACATGAGGCATCCTAAGGCTATGAAAAAAAAACGTAGCTATGAAAATAAAATTTTAGATTTTTAATTTTTTTGTACCTTCTAATAAAAATTACTTCTATTCCAATAAAAATTAACTAGTATGATTATGTGTTATCTGTGCTAGTATTAGGAAACTGGAGTAAATACGGAGAATATTAATTCGTTCTCTAAGATGAGCACTACTAAGTAATTTTTTAAAATTCGACCCATAAGGGGGTGTAATTAGACAAAGGGATGTAATTATACAAAAAAAAATCTGTACCTACTAGGAGTATGAACTTTTGCACAGATGTGGCGCATTTGAACATTGATAAGCGATTTTTGGAAATGTATAGCCTAAGGGTAGTGAAACTGGGGGGTGAAATTTTGTACAAAAAATGTTAGTTCTAGGAGTATGAAATTTTGTAGAGTTTCCTTAAGTGACGAAAGTGAGTACCTAAAAGCTAATTTTTGACATTCATCCCTTAGAAATAAGGGATGAAAATTTGTACAAAAGGTTAAAATCGGTTTTAGAAGTATGAATTTTGCAGACGTTCCTTATGTAACGTAATTTAGCATTAAGAAGCAATTTTTGGAAATTCGCCCTCTAAGGGTGTGAAATGAGGGGTTGAACGTTCTGGAACAATAAATTCTGTTCAAGGAATATGAGAATTTGCACAAAGGTTCCTTATGTAGCGTAATTGAATAAATAGAGTGATTTTTGGAATTCATTCCTTAAGGGGGTAAAACTAGGGGTGAAAATTTGTATAATTTTTTTATGTAAAATCCATTCTAGGACTAGGAGTATGAAATTCTGTTCAGAGGTACCTTAAATGATGAAAGTGAGTACCTAGAAGCGAATTTTAGGCATGCATCCCCTAAAAAATAAGGGATGAAAATTAGTACAAAAATTTGTTAAAATCGGTTGTAGAAGTATGAATTTTGCAGACGTTCCTTATGTAACGTAATTTAGCACTAAGAAGCAATTTTTGGAAATTCGCCCTCTAAGGGTGTGAAATGAGGGGTTGAACGTTCTGGAACAATAAATTCTGTTCAAGGATTATGATGATGATTATATATGATGATTTGCACAGAGGTTTATTATGTAGCGTAATTGAATAATTAGAGCGATTTTTGGAATTCATTACTTAAGGGGGTAAAACTAAGGGTAAAAATTTGTATAATTTTTATGTAAAATCCGTTCTAGGACTAGGAGTATGCAATTTTGTACAGAGGTCCCTTAAGTGATGAAAGTGTGTACCCAGAAGAAAATTTTGGACATGCACCCCCTAAAAAATAAGCACTCCCTATAAAACAATTAAAATAAAAAAATTGTCTAAAAAATAAAATAAAAAGTTGGGGTGGGCCACTCTTATCACTTAGGGGTATAAAAAATAGATAACAACCTAGGAATAGGTTGTGACCAAACCAAACCAAACCAGACCTACTGAATATACATATAAAATTTTATCAAAATCGGTCTAGCCGTTTCGGAGATGGTAACAAAAAATTAAAAACAACCCCCTATTAAAATATAGGGGATGATGGTGGAACGGTGAAAATTTAGGGTTATTTGTATTTATTAATGCCAACTAAAAAAAAAAACATTTTTTCTTTTCAAAAATAAAAAATGAGGGTGGGCTACCCTTACCACATAAGGGTATAAAAATAGATAACAACCTATTCTTAAACGTACTGAATATACATATAAAATTTTATCAAAATCGGTCAAAGCCGTTTCAGGGATGGTAACAAAAAATTAAAAAAACCACCCCTATTAAAAAATAGGGGGATGATGGTAGAACGATGAAAATTTTGGGTTCTTTGTATTTTTTAATGCAAAATAAAAAAATTATATATTTTTTCAAAATATAAAAAAATGGGAATGGGCTACCCTTATCACTTAAGGGTATAAAAAATAGATAGCAAACTATTTTCAGACCTACTCAATATACATAATAAAATCTGATCAAAATCGGCCAAACCGTTTCGGAAATGGTAACAAGAAACTTTAAAAAAAACAACCCCTATTAAAAAATAGGGGATGATGGTAGAACGGTGAAAATTTAGAGTTGTTTGTAATTTTTTAAGGCCAAATAAAAAAAATATTTTTTTTTCAAAAATAAAAAAAATGAGGGTAGGCTACCCTCTCGGCTACCCTTATCACTTAAGGGTATAAGAATAGATAACAACCTATTCTTAGACGTACTGAATATACATACATATAAAATTTTATCAAAATCAGTCAATCGGAGATGGTAACGAAAGACTTAAAAAAAACAACCCCTGTTAAAAAATAGGGGATGATGGTAGAACGGTGAAAATTTAGGGTTGTTTGTATTTTTTAATGCCAAATAAAAAAAAATTAAAATATTTTTTTTTTCAAAAAATAAAGAAATGGGGGTGGGCTACCATTACCACTTATATAAGGGTATAAGGGTATAAAAATAGATAACAAACTATTTTCAGACCTACACAATATACATAATAAAATGTCATCAAAATCGGCCAAGCCGTTTCGGAGATGGTATCAAAAAAACAACCCCTATTAGAAAATAGGGGATGATGGTAGAACGGTGAAAATGTAGAGTTGTTTGTATTTTTTAAGGCCAAATAAAAAAAATATTTTTTTTTCCGAAAATAAAACAATGAGGGTGGGCTACCCTTATCACTTAAGGGTATAAAAAATATATAACAACCTATTTTCAGACCTACTCAATATACTTATAAAATTTCATCAAAATCGGCCAAGCCGTTTCGGAGATGGTATCAAAAAAACAACTAATACATATATAGTATTTTTAATACCCATTTAGAATAACACCATCCTTATTTATTATTAATAAATCAGTTGAAACAAAAAATTACCAACAAAAATGAACGTCGATTATTAATAATTTGTTAGATGTCACGTTTTTGAAGTTACATTTCATGTTAATGTCATAACGCAAAATAAGATATAAAAATGTGATATTCTGATGAATCCAAAAAACTTATGCTTAATGTAGTAAACTATTTTCAAAACGATTTAGGATCTCGATTTAAGGCAATTCAAAAAGCATCCGAAGCACTAAAAGTCCCAGAATGCACATTATATAATCTAGAAAAACCAAACAGAGCTACAGATTTCGAATTTAGAAGAAATATGTCTGCAAGCGTTTCCCGGAGCAAAATCCGAATTACTAAGAATACCCTACATTGTTTGAGGGAAGTAATTTACAAAATGTATGCGCGAAAGGAAAATCACAGTAGAAACTATTTTCCTGCAATTTATCGAAGAGTCTCCAGAAACTAAGATTTCCAAAAGTTCGTTATATTTGGGAATTAAAAAAATGGGTTTTCATTTCAAAAAACCGGATGGAAGAAAACAGTTATTGGAAATGCCTGGAATCAGATTAAAAAAAGAATATTATTTTTGAACAAATACCATGCTGCTAAAAGCGAAAAGCTCTTTAAACCTGTTTTTCTGTAGAATTTGTACTTAAACGAGCCCCTTAAATAAATATTATTACTGCTTGCTCGACTTCTTGTTATATTATTTATTATACTTTTAGTGCATCAGACGCTTTTGAATTGCCTTAAATCGAGATCCTAAATCGTTTTGAATATAGTTTACTACATTAAGCATAAGTATAAGTTAAGATATTCTTTGGTATAAGCCTTAAATCGAGATCTTAAATAATATAGGTATTTTTTTAAGAAAACTCGGTATCTAGTTAATAAAACAATATTTTTAAAATTAGTGCGCTTCTTTTATATTTTTTTTATTACGTCAACATCTTTAGAATTTCATAAAATTAATTTTTATTATTATAAACCGCCACTGATAATATGAAATTTCAAGTCACTCCGCCAATGCAATAAAAAATATGTCAAGCATTTGACATGACAAAGGTCATAACCTAATTTTTTTCATGCGGGTTTAGATGGTGCAAGAAGCCGCATACGTTAAGTTACTAAAACGGCTGGTACCTCTAAATAGGTATTAAAAATACTATACATAGGGTTGTTTGTATTTTTTAATGACAAATAAAAAAAATTAAAATATTTTTTTTTTCAAAAAATAAAAAAAAATGGGGGTGGGCTACCCTTATCACTTAAGGGTATAAAAACAGATAACAACGTATTCTCAGACCTACTGAATATACATATAAAATTTCATCAAAATCGATCAAGCCGTTTCGGAGATGGTAACAAAAAATTAAAAAACAATCCCTATTAAAAATAGGGGATGATGGTAGAACGGTGAAAACTTAGGGTTGTTTGTATTTTTTTAATGCCAAATAAAAAAAAAAAAATATTTTTTTTTTAAATAAAAGAAATGGGGGTGGGCTACCCTTATCACTTAAGGGTATAAAAAATATATAACAACCTGTTTTCAGACCTACTCAATATACTTATAAAATTTCATCAAAATCGGCCAAGCCGTTTCGGAGATGGCAACAAAAAAAAAAACCCTATTAAAAATAGGGGATGATAGCAGAACGGTGGAAATTTAGGGTTGTTTGTATTTCTTAATGCCAAATAAAAATAAAAACATTTTTTCTTTTCAAAAACTAAAAAAATGAGGGTGGGTTACCCTCTCGGCTACCCTTATCAGTTAAGGGTATAAAAATAGATAACAACTTATTCTTAGACGTACTGAATATACATATAAAATTTTATCAAAATCGGTTAAGCCGTTTCGGAGATGGTAACAAAAAATTAAAAAAACAACCCCTATTAAAAAATAGGGGATGAAAGTAGAACGGTGAAAATTTAGTGTTTGTATTTTTTAATGGCAAATAAAAACAAATTAAAATATTGTTTTTTCACAAAATAAAAAATGGGGGTGGACTACCCTTATCATTTAAGGGTATAAAAAATATATAACTACCTATTCTCAGACCTACTGAATATACATATAAAATTTCATCAAAATCGGTTAAGCCGTTTCGGAGGAGTACGGTAACCAAAACTGTAACACGGGAATTATATAAGATAATATTATATGTAAACTGGCGGAGTGCGGAGAACGGAAAGACTGATTATAGCAATAGATAAAATTTAAAACTATAATTTAAAACTATTCAAGAAAATACACACAAAACAAGGCAACGCCGCGCGTCTATTCGTTCAATTCCGAGCAAAATAGCGAGGCTCCACGAAGTTGGGGCCTCGCTCACCAAAGCGAGGCCCCATCGACAGGTCAGATTTTGATGCGAGACGAGACTTCTAGGGTATTAAGATGTTCTTTGACTTTCTACATACTCCTAAAAATGACAAGAAAGTGCTTGGCCGTGTGGAAGTTCTAATATAAAGGTCCCCGAATTATCTTTTCATAGGCAAGTAAAGTATTCAGTTATTCTTTTGTTTATATTAAACCACATGCATACTTTCTGGTTAGATTTCCTAGGAATATTGATATTCGTACAGAGTGGCTAAATGTAATTTTTATATAATTTAATTTTTGTGACAGTAAACATGCAATTTATTGTTCAAATATAGGCATTTTCCAAATTAAATTTTTAAAATTAATGTTCAAATTTGGCGCATGGACGCTAGGTCCTCGACAAAGATAGACAGAGCAGAAGTACCGCGTGTGCAACAAAAAAAGAAGTTAAATGGAAGTTGATATGTTTGCGACAGTTTCCATAATGATTTACTTAGGGGTCGTCATTTTCTTGGCAACTTCTTGATCTTGTCTTGATTTCAAGACAAGATCAAGACAAGAAATGATTTTTGGTTTTCAAGACAAGGCAAGAAATTGCTTCTCAAGATCAAGATTTCTTGACAAGAAATCAAGAAAATCTTGAAATTTCTTGAAAATATAAAATAAAAAAGAAATACTAATTTACATATTTACGTATTTGTATATTATATGAATATCCCATTAATTGATGGATAAAAAAATATTAAGCAAAAAATATTTGTACGAAGCGGCACTTTGTCGGATGTCCAATGTCCAAAGTTGATATAAGTACCTACGTCCAAAGTCGGATGTCCAAAGTTGGCATACTGTCGGGAAAATTAAATTGGAACCTTTTTAAATGCTTAATAATTTTTTAATTTTTAATTTTTTTTTCTAATTTTTTGGATATGTTATGGCCTACGATATTAGAATAAAAAAAAAACATTGGAAAGAGGGTCTACTTCAGTGGCATACAGACTTTTTGAATTAACGTAAAACTTTTAAAATAAAAAATAACACATTTTAGTATGCGCCACTGAAGTAGAGTAGCTGTTATCATTGTTGTTTTGACCTTGTTGGTTTTATCTGTAGTAGTATTATCACCGTCACTACTGTCAAAATCACTAATTAAACTTCTATGTCCAGGTGTCTAAGGTGGTAGATATTCTGAACCGGATTCAATTACGAATGGCTCAGATTTGCTGCTCAACAAACCATCACAATCACTCATTTTAATGTTAGATAATAATAATAATAATTAACAAAATTATGTAAATCTGATGATTTTGGCTACTGTAGTATAATGAGAACAAAGTTTTTGAATTTTTTGAACATTAGATGCCTGACCCTCGATTTTAGGCATAAAGCATAAATATGTCACATTAGCCAATCTCACCGCGACTTTTAAACAGGGGGTTCCCCTTTAATAAACGAATTTTAAACGGGGGTTCCCCTTTCGTCAAGATATCAAGAAATTTCAAGATTTCTCGAATCAAGACAAGAAATCAACTCTCAAGAAATGGTCCAGACAAGATGTTTTTTTAATTCTTGAAAATATTTCAAGACAAGACAAGAAATTGCTTGTCAAGACAAGAAATTTCTTGTCTTGCCGATCCCTAGATTTACTTATCCACGTTAAGTATATATGATCTAGGTGACAACCACATGAAAAAGATTGGTGACGTTATTACGGTATTTCATAAATTACTGCATATTCTTTTTAGTAATTGTCATTGTCATTTGATTTGGGGTTATGATTTTATTGCCTGACATCCATCAATGTCAAAATTAAAAATCGATTGTTGCTGTCAAACAATATCCAATTTTTTTTTATTGCAAAAGTGCCTCAAAGATGTAATCAATAATGTAATAAAATGAACACAATCGAGCTCATTGCCAAACTTATAAATAATTTTTCTCTAGAAAGAGACGGTGGTAGAACACTCTTGCCCGTGGACACCGTATATGAAGTAAGTACAATGCGAAGGTGTAATATTTCTATATAAACTACAATTATTAGTAATAAAGAAACGTATTTAAAATATTCTAAACAATATGAAATAATCTCAGATACACCCTAAAATTCATGTTGACAAATAATAATGACGTAACGTTCAACAATGACTGAACAGTCTTTAAGTACCCTATCCTACCTATCTTTGGGGGCTACCAAATTAGTGTGGTGGAATAGAAGTTGTAACCTTTCTTGTAGATAGTTGTGACATAGGTCTTCAAATGATGCGCCTGCTTGTTTTCCACATGTAGCAGGATTTTGGAACCCTGGACTATCGACTAGAAGAATTGAATTTACAGTGTGATTATTACTAGATATCGCCCTAAAAACCAAATAATAATGTAAAATATGCTTATACAGCTATTACAAAATTGTTTTTTTTTTCAATTACCTATTTATTAAATTAGCCACACAATTGAACACTTCTGAATAAAATCCCATAACTATTCCTTCAACTGCTTCTAAACCGATAGCTTCTCTTTCCAAGCCTTTATCAGTTGGAGAGGGAGTCCTGAAAGGTGCTCTTGGTTGATTTGGAGTTACCTGCAGTACAAAATACATTAATTATACTGTGTCTTTTATCTATCTCGGTGATTAAACTGCAGTTCCTTACCATTCCACCTGATGATAAACCAAATATGACACGTGATAGTTCCTCTGCTGTTGTACCCAACAAACTGGCTGCTCTCTGAGCACTTTGGGGGTTACCAAATTGGTAACGGTTATTATTTCCAGCTAAAAAATGCAATTCATTATTTCATATTCATATTACTTTTTTATAAAATAACTAAAAAATATTAATTGTTATTACTAATCGTGTTGTACCAACATGAAAATTATTAGTAACTTTTTTCAAAATATCGTGAAATGTAAAATTTAATTAGAAATTTAAAAAGTATTTATTGAAGTATACAAGTTACCGATAAAGTTGGCCTTATATAATATTTTTTATTTATTGTTTAAAATTTGATTTCAGTACTAATGCTTCTCCCGGATATATGTATTGTGTATAGTATATATGTGCCAAATTTAAAAATTAACGAAATGTGTACCTAAAAAATGGGTCTGTTGGCCTAATTCAGAAAAAAATATACAGGGTGATCCGAACTGTATTCCGGAAACTTTGGCAGCATATTCTGCAGATAAAAATAATTAAAAAAGTTCATAAAAATGTATGTTCTAAAATGCTTAGTTTCGGAGATACAGGGTATAGAAATTTCATTTTTATTTCGATTTTTTCCAAATAATTTCTGAAGTAATGTCAATATTTGGATGAAAATTGGTGTCTGGCAGTTTTTTGACATGAGAAATTTGATTTTGATATCAATATGACTCTTACTTGTAGAGGGCGCCACCTACGCCGGACAACTTTTTCAAACTGGGTTTGTCAAAATTTGAGCTATAAAGCAATTTTTTAGTAATTTATTACTTTAAATATAAAATTTAACAGATACCAAAAAGTAACAGATCAAATTTGAATATGTTTTATATGTTTTTATTCAAATCCATATAACGACGTTATACAGAGTGGGTCTTAAAAATGTGCAAATATTTTTAGGGGTAGTACATTCCGACCCCAGAAACACGAATTTGAGGTTATTTCCGAAAAAAAAATTGAAAATTTAAAATTTTTGGAAAAAAAAATAGATTTTTTTAGTTTTTAATTAAATAAACATAATTTCTTGATAATATAGCAACATATATAGCTATCATATTAAATCTACAAGAAAGAAACCCGAGAAAAGATCCAGTGATTCTCTAAATTTAAGCAAAAAAAATGTTTTTTTTAATTTTCAAAGTAAAATATCTCAGTTATTTTGGACTTATTTGAAAAACGGTAAAGAGAAAATATGTTTCTATAAACGAAATCTCCCCATCTAGCCATGAAAATATTTGCACTTATTTAAGACCCACCCTGTATTATTTTGACACTATATAATTATTTTTTATTTATATTTCATAATATAAAATATTAAAAAATATATTAGGATTTTCAAAATTAAAGCTTTTACATTTAATTTAACCAAAGTTTACAGAATAAAATATAAGTTCGGTCACTTAGCATCGGCACTTTGAAAATCGCGTATCAAAAGCCAGAAGCCGCCTCGTCCGACACGCCGGATTTCGATGAAAACAGGAGTGGAAGCCGGGGTAAATAGAAGCCGTATTTTTACCGATCGCAAGGTGTGACAAGGTGCAGGGGAACGTGGGGTATTTCAAAAATACCTAATGGTAAATCTACAAAAGAAAAAATATACTATCAGTTTATTGGTGTATTACATATAAATATTTAGACATGGCAAGATAAAAAAGATATAGCAAAAATAAAATAAATTTTAAAAACAAACACAAAAAATAAAATTACACAATATCAGCAGTAAATAATATTACGCACGAGTGCAGTATTCCATGAGTGCGTAATATGGTTTTCCAACACGAATTACGTACACTATAAAATTCAAAGCTGAAACTACTAAATGTCAACAACTTTTGATGTTTAAATGGTATCCTCGGTATTTTTTTACGTTATTCGATAGAAAATGATACTCTGAGTAGAAAGACATATCATATGTCAGCTTTTAACAGTTTCACATATGATTTATTTGAAAGTGTAACACGCCGTTTATAACGACAATTTGACTCGAAATACCAAGTGTGTGGCATGAAATTATTCGTAAAAAAATACTTTTTCCAAATATACTAATGAGCCACCCTCTTTCCATTTGAAAAAAAATAAGATATGGTTAAAAATACCATTTCGGCATCTTTTAACCGGCCAAGACAAGACATGGAAAACATTAGACGATCAAATCTATTTTTCCCAGGGCTCCTTGATTAAAGTTTTGTTTTTAAAAGAGCTATGACACTCAATATTGAAATTTTAAAAGATTTTTTTAAGCTAAAATGCCAAAAGTTGACATATAATATGTCGTTCTATTCAGAGTGTCATTTTTTATCGAATAAAGTAAAAAAATGCTGAGGTTGCCGTTTAAAAATCAAAAGTTGTAGTCATTTTCGGTGAAACCGGAAGTGACCGAAAAAAAATTGAAAACGTTAATCAATCCTAATTTAGGTCATATACTAACACACCAAATCTCGTTTTTTTTATCTGAAAAAAATAAAAAAGTTATAGGGATAAGCCACTTGTGAGACACACCTAGTATATGATTTTTCGTGTAAAAAAATAAAGTGTTCGTGAATAATTCTAATTAGATATTTTAAATAATTTTTTTTCCAGTGGCGAAAAACTCAATATTATTTTTAAGAAATAATAAAATAATTATGCTGTTTTTTTCTAATAAACTAATAAATATTTAACTAAGGCTAATGTGATCAGTAACATTTTGCAATGAAAATTAAATAATCACTTGAAAAATAATTCCATATGCATGCGAGACCACTCTGTAATAACGCCAAAATCAGAGTAATACGCCGAACGTGATCCGCCGTGTATGCTGGGTCCAAAGTCCACACACCAGTAATACACTGGGAAACACGTGCGTGAAGCGGCTTTTGATACCTGCCGCCGGCACAAGTGACGGAACTTATATTTTATTCTGCAAACTTTGATTTAACCCAGCAATTAAATATATAAATAGTTATTTTTTATACAAGACGATAAAATGGCATTTTATCGTCGACCGAAAAGATTAATTCACGAGCGATGAAATCGCGAGTGAATTAATTTCGGGAGACGATAATGCAATTTTATCGTCGTGTATAAAACAATATTTTTTTCCATAGCCAGAAAAAATATATTGTGCTGGGTTGGCGTTGATTTCTATGAAATTTGACAAATAAATAAAGCTGTCTCTTTAGTTGTCAGTTTTGAGCTATGGTTTTGAGTCAATATTTTTTAATTCTCTTTCGTGTCGGTTGCTGATTGAATTGGAGCCAGAAATGGCTCAAAACGAAAAAAGTAAATTATAGTCTATAAAATGAATAACTTTGAATTTTGACCGTTATTTCTTACCAACACGGCAAATATAAAATCTCTCTGTCAAAAAAGTTACTGATATTCTTTAAATTGAGTGCCTGAACGAATCAGATAGGTAACTCTTTTTACTTTCGTGAAATAGAAAAGGAAAATAATCAAACAAGTGACAGTACTTCCTCTTCTTCCAAAAATCAAGACGAAATGTCATAATTGTCAAAAGTAAAATGTCATCAGCTTTTGACATTTCTAAATATCAGACCAATGCCGTCTCTAATAGGACAGCCTCGGAGCGAGATTTATGACGTCACACTAGTTAGATACTACGGATTAATAAATATGTTGTAGAATACATGGAAAACATAACTATTTAAAAAAAAATTGAAAAACAAACTTTGATTTTTAAATACAAACCAAAAATACGAGGAATAATTACGTTTTCCATGTATTCTACAACATATTTATTAATCCGTAGTATCTAACTAGCGTGACGTCATAAATCTCGCTCAGAGGCTGTTCTACTAGAGATGGCATTGCGTCAGCATGGCCGCAAGTTGCTAACCTAATAAAATGAACACTAAAAAAGCTCGCGGGAACTGTCAAATTCAAAGTTATTCATTTCACAGAGTATACCAACACATATTCAGGCTGAGGCGACAAACGCCATATCCAAACTACTTCCATTTAAATCCCGAATTAACTTATGAAAAGGAATACAAAAATTTTCAAAAATGGAAGCAATTAAAAAACGTGCGAGAAGAAATAAAGTTTTTAACCTATCCTCGCTGTTAAAGTATCATTTAATTAAGTATTATTAAGCCTTGCTGTTAAAGTGTCATTTAATTAAGTAGTTAAAGTATCATATTAATTAAGTATTATTTTATCTACTATTTTTGATAGATATAAGGCAATTTTAACAGTTGCTATGGAAAAAAATGTAACTCTTACCAAAACTTACCTTTTACAGCACCTGCACATCCCAAATGAAATATCGCGGCCAAAACTGAAAATATCACTTTCTGCTCTACATCGGATATTCCCAAAATATTTAGAGCGCTACACGTTTTCGCAAACTCTTGCTGCGCCCTCTGTTTATCCTCGTGCTTCTGCAATAAACTCATAAAAGGGTTGTTCTCATTTCCAGAAAGGTTCTCTAAAAACAGTTCCTTTCGCAAAGGCCCTTCTATTCCATACAACAGCCGGTGCATAATGTGAAAGGTAGTCTCGCCGTCGGTCTTCCTTGCAACCCGGCCCTTTTCCAAAAGAAGAATTTGTATGCTAGCTGAAGATATAAAGCCGCTTTGATCGAAGTCAAGACTAAATATCTGAGTGAATCTGGTCGCGTTGGAGTTCATGACAGTTTTGCAGTTGCCGAAACTTTCCAGTAACGTCCACATGGCTGTCAATTTTTCCAGATTTAAAATATTGTTTACGGCGCCCGCTGCGGTAACTAAATACTGGACGCAATGTCGGAAATTGGTGGTTTTTCCTGAACCAGATCGGCCAGCAAACACTAATGACTGATCTCGGCGACTAGACAACATGTTGTGATAGGCTGATTGGGCCATTGAATAGATGTGAGGAGGCATATCTTCGGACTTGCATCCCTTAAAAAGGGCTACGACCTAAAAATGAACCAGGAATAAATAATAATTAGTATAATATTTCTTTCGAATTTAATATTATGCTACAAAAATAGTTTGAAATATTAAAAAGCTGGGATTAAAATACAGATTTATGTATTTATGTATGTTACAGTAAAAGCCAGAAATCACTGGATGTTAACAACAACTAGTAAAACCTCACATTCGCTGATTTATTGACACTACGCCAGTAAAAGTGGCACAATCTAATATAAGCATTCACTGGAACTTACTAGTGAATTTAAACCCTTTTACTCTTTTAATTGAGATAAAAGAAACTTACCTTTTCTGAGTAAATAGCTAAAGGTGCCATAGGGTTTATAACCAAAAGTGTACCGCATCCAGCATAAGTATGAATTAAATTAGTCGCATATCTCTGTCTGAGTGTGTGTAGTACGCTAGATTCGTTTAAGTGTCTTAGGGCAGCCAAGTCTTCAGCTCTATCAAACTGCGGGGGATTTGCCTAAAAAAGTAAATGTACCAATTATGTAACATTATTATCAAATATACTGATATACAAAATACAAATGACAAAGAAGAAGGTCTTATACACTTGTTTTCTTATATCCTGTTGGTGTCTTATATGTATAATCCTTAAAGGCATGCTAATATTTAAAAGGGCGGTTCTTGGACCTATTCTAAGGGCACAAACATAGCGAGGCATCTCGATGCGATGCTCGCCAAGATGCTGGCCGCGCTGCTCGCCAGGATGGTAGCCGCGATGCATCCTACGCGCACTGTTTTAACACGGCGAATAGATGCGCGTAGGCATACTGAAGCATTTACCATCGCCGTTTTATTAAACACCAGTTTATATAAAGTAGTTATTAATTAATTAATTAGTATAGACCCTTGTTGCATTTTTTTGTTTTGATTTCAACAAATTCCGACCGCAGCGCTACAACGGCAAAAATCAGATATTATCCCTACCTATTTCACGTATTGAAATCGTGGTTTGGTTATAATATTTAAGTATTTTAGTTTTTTTCTAGTGCAGTTATTGAGACAAAAAAGAGATAAAACACTCAGGTACGAGGTTTGTGTGATGTAACGCTGTTTCGGGTAATAACAAATAAATGAAAAAGAATTCGAACTAGGCGTCGTGCTGTGTTGTGACAATTTCAAATGTTAATAAAATTGCCGAAAAAATGTTAACGCGTAAAGGAGGGCGTACTTAGGGCGTTGTTGGGTGCAATTACATACATTCAATAACTCAACTTTCCCGAATATTCAACTCTCCCGAAACAACATTTTTCTTCAAAATAGCTTCATAGTTTCTCACACCGATTTGATCAAAAGCAAAAATGGATTCAAGCATTTCGACGAAACAAGTGAGTAAACAAAGTGCTTGTTACATCATCAAAAAATTAAAAAGACATATACTATGAGAGGATAAAATATAATTTGCAATATTAATGGTATACTTTTTTTAATCAACTAGCGATTAAAGTACTTGCTATAAATAAATAAAGTCCATAAACTAATTTCGATTTTGAAAATAGCTACTGTCACTAGAAACTTGCCATGACGACATCAGAGCCCTCTTTGTTGATATTTTATTGAAAAATTGCTCTTTATTCAAAATCTGAGCTAGATAGGTATAGGATACCCTAATAATAGTTTGAAAGAGCATTTGAATCTGTTTCGATTTATTTCAAAATATACAGTTTGTCGTATTTGAAATAACAAGGTTTTTATGTAAAATGAATATGTAAAATAAATCATCAATTTTTGGTACGCCTGTATAAATTTAAGGGAGCAATACAATTTTTCAGTAAAGTTTATTTCTCTATTTTTGAACTCAGCACAATAATTAATTCTAAAAAGTAATGCACAGGGTGTTGATAATCTATTCCATTGTAGCATGTATATTTAAATATCTTTAAATATCACAAAATCCAAAGCTTGTAAACATATTAATATATAATAACACTTACAGCAGGCCTTATTTTGTGTCCAAGGATCCAAATATGAAATAAAATACCGGGTGTTCCATAAGAAAAAATATAACTTTGGTTTAAATCTTAGTTCTGACATACCCTGTACATTTCAAAATAATTTCAAATTATGCACATAGTCTTCCCACATATGCCTATCAAATATTTTGTTTCTACATATTTCCGTTTACGTATAATCAACCGAGGCGAATGAGTTGCGCCACTCTGTATATAGGTGTTCCATTTAAAAAAAATACTCGCGATCCACTCACTTTTTTGAGCCACCCTTTAGAAGTTCAAATATTTTCTTCAAATACATCCTACTACATACTTTATGTCTGGACTACAAAATCCATAAGTTTTTTATTATAGGAGCTGCAGATGCCCGACGCACTATTGCCGGACCCTGTAGAATCAAGGTGATTACATTGTTGGTGATAAATTAAATACTAGTATTGTGAACATTTTATTCCACCCGACTCTAGTTCGACATATTATTATGCTCAACGAATTGTGATCCTAAACCGACCAATCAAATGTAAACTTTCAGGCATCCGCGTCCGCTTCTCGCAAAAAACAAAAATTTTGTTTTTTTAGGAAGCATCGCGCTGAACATATAGGTGCGTGGCGAAGTGCGAGGCTCCAGTATGTTTTGACGCATAAATTTGTACATGTTTGATTGGGCATCGCCGGATGGCGAGATGAATGGCGCGCATCGCGTCGAGATGAAATGCCCCGCACTATGTGTGTAAGATAGTCGCGATGCATCCTACGCGCACTTACTCGCCGTTTTAAAACAGTGCGCGTAGAATGCATCGCGGCTAGCATGGCGAGCAGCACGGCCAGCATCTTGGCGAGCATCGCATCGAGATGCCTCACTATGTTTGTGCCCTAATAGTACGAGAGCTAGCAACGTCGGGAAAACAAGTATTTTAAGACGTCTGGCTCTTTGATATATCTTTTATTATGCTCTCTGGAACAGCATGCGGCCCGTCTGGCTGCCGATACCCGTTGCGTTCACTACTGCGCATCCAAAGAAAATCCTCTATTTTTTACTTAGCGCTTTAAATTCTAGTATTGAATAAAAGTCGAGTAAGTCTCCATTAGCTCAGCACGTAGAGCTTTCGCCTATGAAGCGAAGGTCAGTGGTTCGATACCGGCTGGGGGTGCAACTTTTTTATTTTTTTTTTGTTTATATTCTGATAGTAAAGTATTAATTATTAGCTTTTTATCACCAGAACGGATGGCGCTTATGGGTTTATGATCCGTAGTGTATATAAGTAGAATTTGATACTTTCATTTGTTTTGAAGGATTATTGTGGTAATTAATTATTAGACAGGTTTAGGATGCTCCGGCTGCCGCGTCGGTAGGTTGCGTTCACTACTGCGCATCACATGTGTACAGGGTGTCCCATTTTTTGTGCGTTTTTTGGGATTTCTCGTTTATAATTTCATTTTAAAGATTTAAACATAATATATAAAAAATTAACATTTTAATGCTTTATGAAGGTAATTTCTGCCTGTCTTTCTTCAAAATATTTTTTCAGCTGTTGTTTATTATTTTAATAATCATTTTAATAATACTTTTTTTAACAGATTGTTATTTAAAAGCTACACAAGTTTATTTTCAGTTCAGTTTGTTAAGATAACGATGGAAAACTAAATTATCTGCTTAAATTAAATTAAATAAAATAATACTTTTTAAACAAGATTGATTAATGTTAATGTGTAGAAAATGAGCAAATCTAGGGGTAGAATATTTAGTTACATAAAAAACTAGCAAAGCAAAGTGAAAAAAAAACGCATAATTGTATCTCCACTCATAAACGAGAAATCCCAGATATCCCAAATCCCAAAAAAAGCACGAAAATGAGACACCCTGTACCCATGTGATGCGCAGTTGTGAACGCAACCTACCGGCGCGGCAGCCAGACCATCCTAAACCTATCTAATAATTAATTACTACAATAATCCTTCAAAACTAATAAAAGTATCAAATTCTACTTATGTACACTACGGATCATAAACCCATAAACGCTATCCGTTCTTGTGATAAAAAAACAAATATTTAATACTTTACTATCAGAATATAAACGAAAAAAAGATAAAAAAGTTGCACCCCAGCCGGTATCGAACCACTGACCTTCGCTTCATAGGCAAAAGCTCTACGTGCTGAGCTAATGGAGACTTACTCGACTTTTATTCAATACTAGAATTTAAAGCGCTAAGTAAAAAATAGAGAATCTTCTTTGGATGCGCAGTAGTGAACACAACGTGTATCGGCAGCCAGACGGCCTGCACGCTGTTCCAGAGAGCATAATAAAAGATATATCAAAGAGCCAGACGTCTTAAAATACTTTCTCGAAAACGTTGCTAGCTCTTAGACTATAAGAAAAAACTTCACATGAATGTATGCCCCAAACATCTTAACTTTTAAGATACAACATCTTAACTTTTTAAAAAATAGTACACAATGGATTTCTTTTAAAATAAACATTATTTTTTGTATTATTAAGGAGATATATTTCAATAAATTTTGCTAAATACTCAACAAAGAGTCTGCAATTTCCATGTATACATATTTTCATACGCATCCATGAAAGTAATATTAATAAAATTATCATCTTTTATACAATATTCAAAATGTACGAGTAGATTGAAGCATACATTTATACAGGGTGTCCCAGAAATAAGTGCAAGTATTTGACTGGTAGTACAGTTTAACCCCAGAAACACGCCTATGAGGTTTTTTTCGCGAAAATTTTTTTTGGAAAATTCGAAATTTTTCGAAAAAAATTTTGGAAATTTTTTTAGTTTTTAGTTAAAAAACATAATTTCTTGATAATATGGCAACATAGGTACTAGATTAAATTACAAGAAAGAAAATCCAGAAAAGATCCAGTGGTTCTCAAAATTTTAGCAAAAAATCATTTTTTTTTGGAAATTTTTAAAGTAAAATAACTCCGTTATTTTGGACTTTTTTTTATTTGAAAAACGATAAAGAGAAAATATGTTTCATTTATCGAGATCTACCACCCCTTAAAATACTTGCACTTATTTCTGGGACACCCTGTTATGTAATGCGAAACAATAATAAAACGATCCATTTAATAAAGATTTTCATACTTGTAAAATGTAAAATGTCATTATTATAAAATAAGTTATACTAAATAAATTAATAATAACATAAAAGTTCATAAATTAATAATACTGATGTTATAATTTTTGTAATAAAATAATTTTAGTTATCAAAGAATATATCAAAAATTAATGCATGATATAAAAAGTTTCCGTTTTTTTTCCTTCAAAAAAAAGGTTCAAAATTACTGGTCCACTACCTCGCTCAGTACCAAAATCAAAATAAAAATTGCCCTTCAATCTCAATTTACCTTTTCTATATCATCTTCGTCAACTATCAGAACATCGCCTGTATGTTCCAATTTTATTTTCACCTTTCCTGGTTCGCTGTCGGTAAATTTTTCTTTCCTGGCCGCCGTAAAACCACCTCTGTGCATCAACCATACCCTTTCCGCGTCCAACCATTGTTTCTCCTGTTCCAAGTGCTCCTCACTTTTAGCCTGAAACCAAATATTTTCTTTTAAACTCAATTGAATAAAAAATTAAACTGAAAATTTAGTATAATCAATTTGTATTCTAAACATAACCAGTAGAAGTTTTTAAATACCAGCAACTGTTCTTTGAATGAGTCACCATCCCGTTAACAATAACTGACAATAAGTAAAGTACCTGGAAAATAAATCCGTCAAGAAATTTTTCATTTTCATGTGATAAAATATACCGTCACAAATATTAATATTACAAGCTATTTCAAAAACATCACTGGGACAATAATAATAATAATAATAAAATCTGTTATATAAGTGACATATTAAAACCTAAATGAATAAATAAAAATAATCTTAGCCGGAGAGCTGGCGACATATTTAGAGAACATATTTTAGGCAAGTTAGAATAAGAAAAAAAAAAGTTTAATAACTTGTGAACCCAGAATCTTAAGTCTGGCTGGGGGGTTGGGGGTATTTCGCTACTGCGCAACCCATAACATTTACAAAAAAATAAATCCAAAAAACATTCTTTAGGCAACTTGAAATTTGTTTATTCTTAAATTTTAGCATCTATTTAACCTAGAAATAAGTATGCCAGACTTTTTTTTCGGGTTTAAAGTGTAACCCGACCATTCCAAATATGTTTAATTATATTATTATACCTGGAAAACATACTTTAGGCATTCTAAAATTTTTACAGCGTGTTTAGATGATGTGTTTGTTAGATGATATTAAAAAATATGTGTTAATTGCCAGACTAATTCAACGGGTTTTAATACTTGCCTAACCCGAATAAAGATTTTAAATGAGCGCGACAAAAAAGCCTTATGAGTATCTATAAGCGCGAGAAAGATAGTTTATTGAGACCCGTCGGCAGCCGATGCCAAACCAAACCAAACCAGACAAATTTCAAGTTGCCTAAAGAATGTTTTTTGGATTTATTTTTTTGCAAAAGTTATGTGTTGCGCAGTAGCGAAATACGCCCAACCCCCCAGCCAGACTTAGGATTCTGGGTTCACCAGTTAATAAACTATACATTTTTAGTTATTCTAGCTTGCCTAAAATATGTTCTCTAAATATGTCGTCAGCTCTTGGGCTATCTCTATTCGGTAAAAACTAGCAACGGCACATCTCACAATACCGATTTTGTTGAAAATATATTTGTGTTATACCGGGTGCATCTCGAAAGTGGCTTACCCCTATAACTTTTTTATCTTTTCAGAATGAGATTTCGTATGTTAGTTTATGACATAAATTAGGATTGATTGAGGCATTCAATTGTTTTTGGTTACTTCCTGTTACACCGGAAATGACTACAACTTTTTATTTTTAAATGACACCCTCGGTATATTTCTACTATATTCGATAGAAAATGACACACTGAATAGAATGACATAGCATATGTCAACTTTGGACATTTTCGCTTAAAAAAATTGTATTTTAAATTTCAATCTAGAGTGCCATGACTGTGTTAAAAACACTAATTTTTAATCAAGGAGCATTAGAAAAATAGTTACGATCGTCTAATGTTTTTCGTGTCTTGTTCTGGACGGTTAAAATATGCCCAAATTTTATTTTTAATTATATCTCAATTTTTTCAAATTGAACAGGAGTGGCTCATTAGCATATTTGGAAAAAGCATTTATTTATGAATAATTTGGTACCACACACTTGCTATTTCGAGTCAAATTGTCGTTATGAACCGCATGTTACTATCGAATAAAGTAGAAATATACCGAGGGTGCCATTAAAAAATTAAAATGTGTAGTCATTTCTATTGAAACAGGACGTGATCAAAAACAATTGAATACATCAATCAATTCTAATTCTAATTTAGCCATATACTAACAGACAAAATTTCGTTTTTTTTTATCTGAAAAATTAAAAACGTTATAGGGGTGGGACAATTTGAGACGCACCCAGTGTATCTATTGTCCAAAGAATAGTATAATACACAAAGAAATACTTATTATTTTTTCATATGGTACCTACACTTCTACTAAAATCTTATGCGTTAGTGATTAAAACTCACATACCTAAATTAAAAGTGCTCTAGCTAATTCAAGAATAAATTAATTGCAGAAATCCATTTGTCTCAATTTAAGTTAAATAATTCTAAATCAAATATAAAAGAAGTATATTTGAATATAAATAGAAATAGATCTGCTTTAGAATGATCCAGTTCCTCAAGAATGTAAAAGCTAATACGGAAAATATAGACAGGCGTAAGTCTCGTTAAGTGCTGCCGGCATCTTAGGGCACTTAAAGCATCACTGGTAACCAATTATAGTTAAATAGGTGTAAAAATGTAAGTAATTAAGACAAGTGGATATAAATGAATGAGTCAAAAGTCAAAAGTGCAGTATGGTGTTATTTATAGCATCCAATAAACAATATTAAGTAAAAAAAAATATTTTGAATGTGATAGACAATGATTCAGTATTAAAACTAAAGAATTTTGGACTTTCATTGTCTTTATTTATTTTTGCTTACAAAACATTTCGTTCAGAAGTATCACTGACCGTTATCAAATGTAAACTTTTCACACTTGATAACGGTCGTTCTATAAATAAAAATAAAACAAAAAGTTACTATGAAAATATATGCCCTAAAATGCTTCCCGAAGAAAGGTTAAATAAAAATAATATATTTTGTTTATTTTTAAGAACATTGATAAACCGTTTTTTGCCAAAGAGAATGGTGATTGTGTGTTTGTGCCAAAGAGAATGGTGATTGTGAAAAATTCCGTACCACCCCTTTCCATCAGGGTAGTACTTCTACTGGTGGTACTTCTTTTCTCCTTATAGACAAATCTATGTATACTATAGATAAATTATAACTATATATACTATACAGGGTGAGTTTCCTACGATGTTCTCTGTGGGTATCTTGGAAACTACTGGAGATAGAGAGTCGGCTAAATGGGGAAAGAATTGCAATTTTGTGAGGTCACAAATATGCGCCTTTCAGATTTATCAAAAAGTTCATGATTTACTAGATATTTTGAAAAAAAAACAAATTTCGGCTATTTTAAAAATTGTCCCTAATTCCATTATAAGCTATTTTAGACAAAAAGTTTTCAGATAAAAGTTGTAGATAATCACATCCTTAATGAGATCGTGTCCTCAGTTTTTTTCTAAAGCCTGTCATTTTTGACATATCACACAAACATATGTTTTTTTAAATGGAAACCATAGTTGGCCATAACTTCATAAAAAGCGGCATTTTTTAAGTTTTTAGCGATATAAGCTATAATATGTTTTCTTCGAAAAATTATTGAGTTATAGCCAATTCTTATCATTTTTAAACAATTTCACTTAGTTAGCCATGGAAACAAGTTCAATCGCCGCCGCCGTTACTCTCAGAAATGTGAAGCTGTCACATTCAAGCTTTGTAAATTAAAGTAAACAAAAATTGTAAATATGAATTTCTCAAATGAAGAAAAGCGTGTAGATACTCGCGCATCAATAGAGTGTCCCCCCCGCATAATGAAAGAAATGTTAAAAATTATTGATATCATAGTAATACAAATTCAGGAAGAGGTGGACTAATTGCATGGGCCTCCTCGATCACCTGACCTATCCATTTTAGATTTTTTTTATGCGGTATGATTAAAAATAAGGTTTACAAAAGAACTTATGAATTAAGAGAGGCACTCGAAGTGGCGGTACGAGAGAAGTTTAATTAAATCAATCGGTCCTTTTGTGAGAATAGGTAATAATTCAGTTTTAAAAAGATGTAACTCAAAACAATGGAATTTTTGAACATTTTCTAAAATAACTTAAAGTGTATGCAGTGACTCGACTGCAGCGATATTATTTTTTTAAGTTTTAGTTTGTGTAATGTAAATTCTAAAGAACCGTTTAGTAATATATTCTGACTTTTTATAAGTTATAAATCACAAAAGAATAAGAATGCCATGCAATCTAAGTGAAATTAGTCAAGAGAAATAAGAATTGACTATAACTAAATTTAACTTTTCTAACGAGTCTTGAAAATCGTTCTCTAAAAAACATAACATTCACCGGTCAACGTATCCTCGAAAATGTATGGTCAAGAAAAGTTGAACTAATAATCTTACACGCTTTTCTTCATTTGAAAAATTCATATTTGCAATTTTTGTTTATTTAAATTTACAAAGTTTGGATGTGGCAGCTTCACATTTATAAGACCAAAGACGATTGTTTCCATGGCTAACTAACTGAAATTATTTAAAAATGATAAGAATTGGCCATAACTCGATAATTTTTCGAAGAAAACATATTATAGCTTATATCACTGAAAAGCTTAAAAAATGGCACTTTTTATAAAGTCATGGTCAACTATGGTTTCCATTTAAAAAAACATACGTTTGTGTCAAATGTCAAAAATGACAGGCTTTAGAAAAAAACGGAGGACACAATCTCATTAAGGATGTGATTATCTACAACTTTTATCTGAAAACTTTTTGTCTAAAATAGCTTATAATGGAATTAGGGTCAATTTTTAAAATAGCCGAAATTTGTTTTTTTCTAAATATCTAGTAAGCCATGAACTTTTTCAAAAATCTGAAAGGCGCATATTTATGACACCACAAAACTGCAATTCTTTCCCCATTTAACCGACTCTCTATCTCCAGTAGTTTCCGAGATACCCATAGAGAACATCGTAGGAAACTCACCCTGTAGATAAATTCTAAAAATAATTTCAACAAATGATAGGTATAAAAAGCCAAAACATTCCTTTAGTTCGAAAAGGTGAACGGTTTTCAAGATATTTGCGTTTAAAGATTAGGATGCATCGATTTTAGTATTAGTGAAATGATGAAATGTAAACAAATTTTAAATAAATTAATCTCCTGATTTCGCTAATGCTAAAATCGATGCATCGGAACCTTTAAACGCAAATTTCTTGAAAGCCGTTCACCATTTCGAACTAAATGAAGAGCACATTTTTCACATAAAAAAGTCCTATCTTTAATTTTCAATTATCGAAATTACTGCCTCTATTAGGATAAAAGAAGTACCACTAGT